GCAGTCATTTATTAAATGTGTGTGGCAGATTTATGGTCTGATTGTCTGAGCTAATTATTGAATCACATGACTTGAGGCAATGTCAAATGACTTTGATGCACATCAAGCTATGTATTTGGGCAATGTGTTTTTATAGTAATTTATATCTTACAGAACAATCTTTTATTCTAGGTTACACTTTATGTGTGTTCTTGCTACACTGAAATTACACAAATAGTAATGAGAAATACTTATTTACAACATGCATATATAGGGTTAGGGTTTGTTTTAGGATTAGTTGCTTGTAAGTATGTATAATTTAACGGTATCACATATTTGTCTACGATTAGTCATGAGTGTCAGTGAAATCACCAAATTATACGGGGTTCTCACAGTTATGGCCAAGTGGTGCATCTCCTCTGCACGTAACCTGCTGTCTCCTGCATTAGCCAGCGCTCGGAAACAGTAACACATAATTGAAGATACACAATGGTTTCGGATGAGCACAGAGAGCTGCTGCCATTAATGTTTAGATCAATAGTGCTGTCCCAGCTGGCTGCTGATGTTTCGCCCGCTTGTGCAACTTTCAGCACGTCCCCTTTTTCTCTCAGACCAGATTGAAATTCCCCTCGCAGGTCTGGCCATCAAAGAGGTCTTTCACTAAGGCACAATGGGGACAGAGGTGACCGCTCCAGGCTAACGGCGCAGACAGGCTCCCTCATACCCAGGGCTCAGTGTCTATAGACAATAGCTTCTTTTATGTGTGAGGTCACATGCTAACGATTAAAACGCAAAGGTCACTGATACAGCAGTGCAGACTAGTTTGCTAAGCGAGTTGAACGATCTGTAATACGTGTTATAAACGCATGGCAACAAGCAGACTGAGAACTCAAAGGTGGAAGAAATGTTTTATAAGCATGGGCCGGCACCTGTTAGTGAGAAATGTTGTAATGAGAGTTGCTATGCTGAAGAGATGCAAGCACTGTACACATTAACACGATCCCTCCTTATATACACACACACACACACACACCACAAGAGAAACAAACCTCAGGGCTCACCTTTACGGTCAGGTTTGAGGTTGCGGTCAACAGGCGGCGGTTGGCATTCGGGCATGTGCACCGGTCTACGAGGTGGGGTCTTGGGGCTGGAGCGGAAGCCCATGTGGGCTGGAGGGGGCACCTGTTTTCCGAGTGAGGAGAACTCCACTGTGCCTGGTGTCATGGGCACATAGTTGGGCTCCTGGATGGGTTCTGATAGGCTGCCAGAGCGCTGATGTGACGAAGAGTGGACGCTCATGGGTACATAGTTCTCGTCCATCTCCTCAGTGGAAACACCTCCTACTGGCACCATGCCTTTATTCTTCTACATGCATCCAAGAACAGGGAAGAAACTGTTAGGGATTCTTAAGACATTTGAAAGACAGGACCTAGTTTTAAACTAGATAAAGTTGATTAATCAGGAAAACTTACAAAATAGTTGTTGAAGCTTTCATTAAAATCAAATGAGCAACTTTTATCTGGGGGGAAGGGACGGGGTATATCATAGCAGTCTTGAGATCCGTAATCTGTAAAATAAATACAAAATGAATGAATGCAGTCAAAAGAAGAAAAAAAAAAAAGTCACAGAACCATCTCTCTTCTGCTCAAAAAGGCTGCATTTATTTTCATTAAAACTATAGTAAAACAGTAATATTGTGAAATATTATTACTGTTTTAATGCATTTTAAAATGTAATTTATTCCTGTGTTAGCAATACTGAATTGTCAGCAGCCATTTCTCCAGTCTTGTGTCACATGACTTTCTTGAGAAAGTTCAGAAGAACAGCATTTATTTAAAATATATATTTTTTGTAATCTGTATATCTTTACTTTCACTTTTCATCAATTTAATACATCCTTGCTGCATATAAGTCTACTGTGTCATTTTTTAAACAATTTATTCCATCCTTGCAGTATCAATGCATTAATTTATTATAATTATATATATAGTTGTGCATTATTATGGAGGCATGTGTGAAGAAGGGAATGTACATAAACAATCTCAATACTACAATACCACCAAACAACACTAGAGGGGCCCACTCATGACTACATGACCCCCATTGTTGCAGAACAAACAGCTTGATGGCCTCTTATTGAAAATATATCGAAAGAATGAGTTGCCAGAAAATAAGAAATAGCAAATAAAATCAGGATTTAGGATCTCAAAATAAATATGTCCACGATATTGACATTAGCAGTCATACTGTACCTGCTCATGAACGGTAAAAAATGTAAAATTGGGTTACATTTTAACATATATTTCAAGCATTCTGGCAAATTGTAAGAAAAACAAATAAATAATCTGACAATAAATAAATAAAGGCTAGGTTTTTGCCCAAATTGACAGTGATGCCCTTTCCATTATTCCATGTGAACATTAGTCCTTTATCTGCTTTGTTACAGACCACTATAAAGAATTTGTTCTAACTGTCAAATAGGCAGAATGAACACTTAAAAATCTGTAGTAATTACTACAATGTTCAGTCTCAATTATTCATAATATAAATAATTATTTTAAACTACCGTTCAGAAGTTTGGGGATGGTACGTTTTTTTAAGCTGAAAAAAAGCTGAATTTTCAACAGCCATTACTATAGTCTTTAGTCTCACAAGATCCATCAGAAATAATTTTAATATGCTCATTTACTGCTTAAAAAACGCGTCTTATTATCAACGTTAAAGGGATAGCTCACCCAAAAAGGAAAATTCTGTCATTAATTACTCACCCTCACGTCGTTCCAAACCCGTAAGACCTTCGTTCATCTTCAGAGCACAAATGAAGATATTTTTGATGAGATCCGAGGGCTTTCTGACCCTCTATAGACAGCAAGGTAGTAAAGAAAGGTAGTAAGGACATTGTTAAAATAGTCCACGTGACATCAGTGGTTCAACCGTAATTTTATGAAGCTACGAGAATACTTTTTGTGCACAAAAAAAAGAAAGAAGTAAAATAATGACTTCATTCAACAATTCTTCTCCTCCGCGTCACTCTAGCACCAGAATTGTTGAGTAAAGTATTCAAAAACTATTCTCGTAGCTTCATACAATTACTGTTGAACTACTGATGTCATGGACTATTTTGTCAATCTTCTTGGTACCTTTCAAATTAATGACAGAATTTTCAGGTGAACTATTCCTTTAGACAACAGTTGCGTTGTATAATATATATTTTTATGTGTGTGTGTGACGTTAACTGACTTGCAGTAGACAAATGGTATTAAAGACCATCTTTTCCAATTGCACATTAAAGGCAGTGCACAAGTTGAAGTTCAGATTCCAAACCATTAGGCAACCTAGACTTCTAGAGATTTTGAGCTTGTATTGTTATTGAACTTTTGCTTTCATAATGATGGTGAAATGGCACAGGTGACTTGGATAATTGATATCCACCTACCTTTACGTAGACGTGAAGAATCCACTGTACCAATGGTGTTGCTCCTTAGTGCTTTGTTGCCTCCTGTACTAGATGGCACGCAGTAATTCCCATCAGTCTCAGACACTGACCGTGGCACCACATACGTGTCCGTGGGTGACCGCTCAGGTGGAACTGTTCCCGTGGTCAGTAAAGGCTTAGGTGGACGAGGGGGCGGTACCACATCTGTGGCCCCTGAAACAGCCTCCACCCCAGCAGTACGGGGAATCTGGTAGGTACAGTTACTTCCAGGTGTAGGTGGAATATCATAGCTAACTGACAAGTTCCGCAACTGGGCCTCTAAAGAGGGTTTACGACCAGGCGTGTTAAAGACATAGAGTTCACCGGGCTCACCGTCAGGAGCGGGAAGGGAGGACGCCGACTTCGGCAGCAGCACAGTGTCCTGAGAGTAACTTCGGGGCAGGTGGTAAAGACCCTGCGAGTCGGCCGACAACGACTGCCCGCGCGAAGGAGGAGAATCATAGAGCCCAGCGGCATGCTGGGTAGGAAAGAAACCATTGACTGAGGCGTGCCTGGAGGAGGAGGAGGAGGTGGGTGTGTGGTGGGAAGGGAGGTTGTCATTACAGTCGGGTTCGGAGGAGGTAGACTTGGAGCATTCGCCATGGGCCCTGTAAAGAAGCCCATGCATGAGATACAGGTTATGAGTAAAGTAATTCAAACAAATGCCAGCTAAATATGTTAAAACAAACTCGCTCATCATCAATACAAAGACAAAAACACCCCTTCAAAGACATACCATGCTACTTTATGTCATTATGAAAATCGCAATATGAAATAGTCTTTGTATTTTTAATTAACTGGCAAGAGATAATGTCAGTCGGTCATTACTGCATAATAACTGAATCATAATAACTGAAAGTGGTTTATTTTGCAATACGGACCAGCCAACTATATCATCTTATTATCACTTATTACACAGCAACTTGGCAATTAAAGATGCATTCAGTAGTTTGGTGCAAAGTTAAAAACCATCACTAGCATCAGAGTAATTTACATAAAACTTTTGCAATACGTGATTGCACATTAAAGTACATGAAGAACAGCAATGATAACTATGCTAACTACCGATTGCACCTTTATAAATGAAACGACATAAAATATTGATTTGATAGAACAATTGTGATAGAACAAAGAGACAACACACTACTAGTTTAATGGGGACATTGAACTAGTAGAGTTCGGCAGACTGGTTGCCAGGGACTACGGTCAAATAAAGTTTAACATCATTACACAATATTTGACCATAGTAGGCAATGAATAACCAAACATTATCAAGTATTCCTGAAAGCTGTGTAATAAGCTTCCCGCTATACAACTAGAACTGGTAAGGTTAGTGCCAAACACAACCATGCACGTCATATTTCACCCAAGTCCTGGTTCAAACTATGCATACACACTCTTTTAAAGGGATACTCCACCCCAAAACGAAAATTTTGTCATTAATCAATGTCAGCGACACAAGGATACGTTTTCTACGTGTATTTACTCTTTGATTTGAACGAAAACAGCGCATCCGTGTGGCGCGGCTGACACAGAAGAGCGTACGCTGCTTGCGTTCAGTGGATATTCTCCAAAATGGCGCTACGGTGACGCGGAGAGACACAGAAAAGACAAAATGTTGAATAAAGTCGTTATTTTTGTTTTCTTCGCCTACAAAAAGTATTCTCGTCGCTTCAGAAAATTCAGATTGAACTACTGATGGCAGATGGACTATTCTGACGATGCTTTTCATACTTTTCTGGACCTTGACAGTGTAATTTACTTGGCAGTCAATGTGACAGTCACAAGCCTCCCGTTTTTCATCCAAAATATCTTAAATTGTGTTCCGAAGACGAA